GGGGATAAATATCTCCGGCTCAACACCAGTCAGTCAGAACTGATGAAGCCTCTTGGATGAGAGGTGAAACGTCTTCGATCTAGAAATCTAAGTCCAGTTGATTTTTTTCTAAGGTTTTTTCAGTGACCTCCTTGTTGCATAAATTTGTATTTTAATGAAAACCCTGGCCAGATGCCAATTTGTCGCTCAAGTAACAAAGGAACCAAGCTAGGCAACACTGACAGACTTTTTCCAGGAAGTCAGTTATTATTAGCTCCAGTCAGCCAGTTATTAGTCAGAGTTCATTTTCACATTCTTTATGATCTACACTACCAGTCTAAAGTTTGGACAGACTTTCCCATTGAACTGAATGAAAAAGTGTGTCTAAATGTTTGACTTGGGGCGTAGGTACTTTAGGTATGAAAAAAGCTGATGTAGATGTTTTTTGTCAACTGTTGTCTTCTATCTGTTCTTTCTGATTCATCTTTTACATTGTGTTTACTTGCGCTTTTTTATGTGTTTGTGCCTGTGCATGTGTTGGGCTCTTGCGTTTTCAGGTGCTGCAGAAGCCCACGCCAGAGCAGAAGCAGCAGCTGGCCGTACACTCCAAGCATGTGGCGGCGTGTGTGACAGAGCTCGTCCAGACAGCTGAGGTCATGAAAGGTGAGGCCACACATGCTGCTGATGCGCACCGTTGCACACTCTTACACAATGCATACAAACAAGAGTTAGGTTTGACAACCTTTAGTTACCTGTGACCATGTTCTGACTGTTTTTATGGACCATTACATACATGTAAATGTTGTGTATGTTTTCCATTTCAAATGTTTATGGCACTTTGTGAAACACTGTGTCTTATTTTATTACATGGCATAAATTTTACTGAAGCATCTGTGCTGTCCAAAAATCATTGGCACCGATTTTCATTTTAAAATTACTGCAAGACATTTTAGCCACTGCAGTGTAAAACTGGGAAAGATGAAAACGCGGACTACAGTCGGTTTAAATGCAAGGGCATTTAGGGCATTAGGAACCAACTCAGCTTTATCAAGTGTTAAAAAAAAATCAGACAGGAATGTTACGGGGGTTAGGGTTAGTCAAAGCAGCTGTAACCCTCTTGTGCATAAATAATCATAGAGTTACTGAATTAAGCCACCAAACCTGCCTCCTTCCTAATAAAGACAGGTCATGAAAACACTCCAGAATACTGAAATCGCTGTGCAGATTGTTCCAGATTAAACTCTTTAGGATGGTTATGGCACAAACATACTAGAGTGTGTCCTCTAGAAGCTGCACTGCCACATCTGACAGCAGTAATAGATAGTGTTTGGATGAGAATTAGATTTCAGCGTATAGCCACAGACCCAGCGGGGCTATCCACTTTACCTCTCTAATGTCCCATGTGCTCTCTCTCTCCCCTGCTCTTTCCTCGCTGCCTCAGATGGAGGTAAGTGAGATATGGTGTGTTTTGTTCCTCCAGATCACCTTTCATAGAGTCAGAAGGGGGTAGAGGAGTGCACGGCTTAGGGGTGGGGGTGCAGAACAGATTTCCCCAGAGCTCAACATAATCTATAAAAACATCATTCCATCTGCTTTACCAACCTGTTCCCAAACAGCTCCTTTTTATGGGCAATATAAACCTATAAAAAGCCAATGATCCATTAAATGTGCATATCGTCTAACTTTTAGTTTATCTTATTTAACTCTTAGGCATTACTGTCTTACTGCAAACAGTTCTTTGGAGTGTAAAGAGCTCATGAGTTTAAGGAAGTTGAGATTTAGCATCTCTGTGATGCCTGAATTGTGTGGATGAAAAAGAACATTTGGCTGAAGCATAAGATTGACCTTTTGTTAATAAAATAAAATAACATTTTATCATCAGAATTACTGGTGTTTTTTTTTTGAGATTGTGCTAGAAAAGCATAGGAAAACCAATGTCTGGGGCATGTGTTGATCCATTTTCAGGATCAGAATATGTGGACCCGGAAGACCCCACTGTCATTGCTGAGAATGAGCTACTCGGAGCAGCAGCGTCCATTGAAGCTGCAGCCAAGAAACTAGAGCAGCTGAAACCCAGGGCCAAGCCCAAGGTACGAGTGCTCGTCTCAACGCTTTCAACCCACACAAACCCACACACAGCTTTTTGCCATTAATCAGCATTGAGACGATGTGAGGCCTAAGGAAGGAAAAGGTGACACTGACTTTGAAGCGGAGTCATCTTTGTCTGTAACTCAGCTGCTACCTTGATATAAAGTAAAGAAAATGTTACACACGCTCTGTTGACTCAGGTGGTGCTCCAGTGAGCTAACATATGACGCTTGGAAAACTTTCTTCAAAGGCACTTTTGGATATTGTTTGGGATTGTATTGCCAGGAGATACAGTTACACTGCTGGGTCCTCAAGCTTATGTTGGGAAGAGTCCAAATGCATGATGAACTGTTGTGACCCTTTTACAAAAGAGAGGACCTCCATCTTATTGAACTTATATTCTTAGAAATGAGGAACACTGCAGTTTTATTGCAGTGTTCCTCATTTCTAAACTAAACTCAGGGGAGGCCTTTTCACCCTGTTTCTCCTTTCCCCCGTGCTACCTAAAAAACAAAACTTTACCACATAATAATGGGAGATTGTGCTTTTGGAAAGCAAACTAACTTTTATGCTGTTCTGTATGCAATACAGGGTTGTGTTTGTGGTGTGTGACTGCATGATGATTGTATTGTTTGTTTATCTGTCTCTGAAGACTGGATAGTTGGATCCTAGTTCTCTTCCTTGTGTGCCTGCAGTGCTTTCTGTCTTTTCTATACCCTTTCTTGTACACAGTAATTGTCAGTTTTACCCTCTGCCTGTGTAAAATGAAGGAATGCATATTTAGGTTGCCACAGTTTTAATAAAGACCATGTAATGCTCTTTCTCATACTATAATTCCACCGCTACAGACTGCATTTATGAAAGAGGATTAGTGAACGAAGGGCTTGTCCTTTTATAAATGCCAGTGTCTCCCTCTAGTGATCTAACAGGAAGCAAACCTTACTGCACAGCAATTTGCATTCAGATGCTGAAAAAAAATTTAAAATAAAAAGACAAAGATGGGCCCATGAGGGCCACGCTTCCCAGAAATGTGAACACAGCTTATTATGCACAGCCATTATTTATAAAAATCTGCATTTTTAAAGTGTCCCAACTTATTCAGGATTTGCAGTCCACAAAGTAGACTTTCAACAGTAACAGTGGGAACACCATATATGATTGGAATTCAAAAGTTATTTATATTTTAAGACGGAGTAAATAAAGTAACACTGACAGATTTTAGAGGAATCAAGCTGCCATATAATTTGTCAAATGCTGTAGCTTTTCAGACACTTCCATCAAACACATATTTGCCACAAACAGTTTGAACTCTCCTTCTTCCTCCTTGTTACTTTCTCTCCTCTCTGCTCCATTCCTCCCACTCTGTAAGGAGGGAGGGCTCCCAGCATGCTTGCCTGCCTTGCCTCCCCACCCCCACCACCCCCCTCTTTGAGCCATTGTAGACCTGGAAGCCTTCCTCTGCAGGGCTCTGTCTGATATGTTTGATATATTAGGTTGTTATTCAGTCCCAACTGTATATCAAACATATTCCTACAGTGTCCCGCCCTGTCTCCAGTCAAGTGTGCCTTATATGTTTATGGAGCTCTGTGGTCAGTCACACGCTGTTGACTGCTGAAACAAAGAAAGCCATTTGTTAACTGTCCCTGAATTGATGTAGCTTCATATTGGGAGTTTTAAGAAGGTGGGAGGGAGATTACATTCTGCAATTAAAAATGAGCACTGATAAGCTAATTTGAAGAATTATTAAGCTCCCAATATGAATACAGTCTGTTGTTTTAGGCCAATAAATTAGGGGAGTGATTCAATATCCCCCATCCACAATTTACTGGGGAAAAAACTAAATTAGACCTTCATACTGAGAAATTTAATTTCAGACATTATAAGCTGATTGTAAAATGGTATTGTACAAACAATATTAATAATCTTTACTATAGTTTAATGTCTAATTTGACATTTGGTTTCCTTCCAGCAGGCAGATGAGACACTGGATTTTGAGGAGCAGATCCTAGAAGCAGCAAAGTCCATTGCTGCAGCGACTAGTGCTCTTGTTAAATCTGCATCAGCGGCTCAGAGAGAACTGGTGGCACAAGGCAAGGTCAGTCTCTGAACCATCTCAATCACCCAGGTAGATTTGCATACTGTATCTAATAATGTAATACAGTATATGTATTTCTTCCTCAAATTGTACCACAGGTGGGATCCAACCTAGCCAATGCAGTGGACGATGGCCAGTGGTCACAGGGTCTTATATCAGTTGTAAGTTGCTTTGAAAAAGTACTGAATAAACTTCTTGATTGTTTACTATGTACGAAGCTAGGGGGAATCTGATTGGCCTCCCCTGACGCCACCCCTGCCAGAATCAAAATGTGATGCTTGAAGTATGAATGAATGAAAAATGGGGGGCAATGACTAATTGCTGCCCTAAATACAACTAACATACATAAAATGAACCAAAACCAAGAGCGTGTGTGAAGTTGTGTGGGGGTTGTTGGGGGCGCGCCAGCCACTAGTAACCTGTGTGAGGCAGCTAATGCATCCGTTCAGGGCCACGCCAGTGAGGAGAAGCTCATCTCTTCAGCCAAACAGGTTGCAGCTTCCACAGCTCAGCTGCTGGTAGCTTGCAAGGTAAAGGCAGACCAAGATTCTGAAGCCATGAGGAGACTACAGGTAACACTGATACTGTCTTAATGTATCCACGGAAACTGTACACATGAATTGTGCCCAGGCTAACGTTGAGATTGTCTGTTTGAAGGCTGCTGGAAACGCAGTGAAGCGAGCTTCAGACAGCCTGGTGAAGGCAGCTCAGAAGGCAGCGTTTGACAAGACTGAAGATGACAACATGGTGGTAAAGACTAAATTTGTTGGAGGCATAGCTCAGGTGAGACAAAACCCTGAAAGATCTTTGTAAGAGATGTTGTGTGGTTTGCCCTTTTCAATGAATGTTTGCTCACCGATGCTGAAATGCCACAGTTGTTTTTCTGAAATTGTGATAGGCTGCCATGGACAAACAGCTTATCAGCTTCATTTCAAAGCTGCTTAGCAGACACCCACAGCTGCAAAACATCACAGCCCTCGAAGACTTTTAACATATTACTGTTACAGCAGATACAAAAATTTTGACTAATTGAAGAGTGTCTATATTTTTTCAAAGCACTCTGATGCTCCAGGAAGCTGGAACATCAGAGGAGCTGGAACTTGATTGGTAGATTTTTTTTTGTAATGTTTAAATGCTTTTTATATATACATTCCTGAAAATTTTACATGCAATAAGCCACATTTTCCCAGTTTAGGGTGCTGTTTTGTTCATGTTCTCCCATACTTGGATTAACAGGCTGTACAGTGGGAGCTTCATATCAAGCTATCCACATGGGATTATGAAGAGCAAAAGGCACATTTTCTGTCAGCTGTTCCCACTCTCCCCAGATCATTGCAGCTCAGGAGGAGATGCTCAGGAAGGAGCGAGAGCTGGAGGAAGCACGGAAGAAGCTGGCTCAAATTCGACAGCAGCAGTACAAGTTCCTGCCCAGTGAGCTGAGGGAGGATGAGGGCTGATTGGCTGAGCAGGAAGGATGTTGGCCGCACCGGTGACAACTCTTTTGTCACGGGCTGATGTTGCTGGTGTCCTTTTGGCTGCTTTATTCTCACATAATTGAGGAATATACAGCACTTGAAACAGGCCTGTTTGAGGAGATAAACAAGTGCCTGTGCTCTGTAGTGTATTGTGTGTGTGTGTGTGTGTGTGTGTGTGTGTATTTGTCAGTGAATGACTTTCAATAAGGAGAAAGTTGTTACAGCTGTCGCTATAAGCAAGTTGAGACCGTATGATAAAAATGTATGATAAACGTATCATTACTTTGCGCATCATGAGAATTACTGAACGTTACAGTCATGAACTGAAGATGTTACAAATGCAGAAATCCTCTGTAATCACTGAATGTTTTATAATTGTGGAAGAAGAGCAAACAGAAATTTAAATGATGATATCTGTGCAGCTAGCAGAATAAACATAAGGGTCCATAGCTTGTATTCTACTGTATATGTAAAAATCTCAGAGGGTTAACGTAAAGGCAGGAGGTAAATGGCTTGCATGCAATGTAATGACTATACATATCAGTGAAGCTACTAACCAATAGAGTAGTATTGTGTGGAAAGGCACTTGTATTTTTCTAACAACAATGTGAACTTGGGGTTTGCTGTTAGACTAGCAAATCTTCTGAAATCAAAGATTCTGATTAACCTAAGTTGTTCAGCTTGTCACCAAACAATGAGGGGATCCGATTGGAGTAAATGACAAAGTAAAAGAAAATAACAGACCACTGGCCAACACTAGATATAAAGGGATGTATTCTTGAGTGATTTTTCTAAGAAACAAGTTGTCTTTTAAGAGCAGACGGGTGTAATCTGTCTTGTTCAGAAAATCTGGACTGTATGTGTAATGTTTCTTCATGTAACCCTGCCAGTTCTACCATCACCTACAGAGCTGTGTAAGGAATATGTTTACATTATTTGTCATGTTTGTTCTCTCTTGTCTTCATGTTTTAATTCCTCTCCCATTAACACTGACCAGGTTTAGTTCAGTACACAAACACATTGACAGTTATTTTCCACCTGTCACTGCCCTGTCATAGTAAAGGCATCTTCACTTAGATTGTTTATAGCAATACATTACACTGAGTATTCTAGCAAAATAATAATGAGCCTGCGCTGTTACTGGTTGGAAGATTGGATGTGTGCAAAGATATTTGGCTTTGGGCTTTTGAATGAAATGAGCATATACATAATGCACTGAAGTTTCTCAAACTTAGACACTGAAGAAGGCATTTTAAAGCTTCCATTATATTAAATGTAGGACGTTCTAACGGACTTGAAGGAAATAACTTTGAGGTCTGCTTGAGAAAATTGATTCTATTAAAATATATTTTTATTTTTTTCTTTAGTATGATAACGTATAATATATTAGAAATGTTAAGCAGTTCATCCCTTCAGTCTGTCCACACCAGTGTCTGCTAGTGCCTTACTTGAGTCTGCCCTGCAAGCAGCTGAACATCAGGCTGGGTGGGAGCCTGCGCCTTTTCCTTTCTGGATCAGAACATTATGCCAATCTAATCCCCATCGGGGTCTTAATGAACTGTCACCTAGTCCTTTGCCATACAATACAATGCCTTGGCTGGTGGCCTACCTGCCTACAGTGCTATAATGCTGATGTTAAAGGGCATCTGTGGATACCTTAGGATTTAGAGACCATGTCAGAAGAACAACACGAGACTGCTTTCTGTGAGCATGTGGTAGTTTGTGTCTGAAGTTGAAAAAGTATTGAAATTCATTATGCCAAGTCCTTCTTAAATATTGGACTGAATCCTTGTTTCACTGTCTAATCACTATAAAAAAAAATTATGCTTTTATCAGTAAATGTAGGAATTACCTTTAAATATATTGTCTAACTGATTTGTCCGAGTATTAACGGAAGTAGAACAAGTTACTATCTCTGTTATGAATAGGTGTTGTGCTTTCTTTAACATACTGCATCAGTTTTAAGATTTGATGCTGTATGTATAATAGCTATCTGGTCACAAAAGTATTTTTTGTATTCACCAGAAATAAAGAGTTTCAGTCAACAATACCATTAAGATTATCTTGTCCTGCTTTGTATAAATGCATGTAGTTCACAGAGATGTGTAATAGTAAAAAGGCATCCTACATTCTTTCCAGGAGATGTCAGTATTTCCTTCATAGTTCAGTCAGAGGAGTCTGTGGATGTTTGGAGAAATATGTTCTAGTGGAAGCACGGGCAAAGTTAGCCTGACCAAATATGGACATAGTGAATGGGCTTCTCTTCTCTTAGTTCACAGACCAGACCTTGAAGTATGCAGTGATTCTCATTGAGGCATTTTGGTCAAGTTTGAGAGTTCACATTCATTTTGTACTCTGGGTTACACAGCTCGGCTGTTGATTAAATAGCCTCATGTTGACAGTTTGTAGGTCTACTTGCTACAAACTTAACATTTTGTATTCAGGTAACACTTATTTCACACTGACGCTGAGTCGCTTTATGGGGGTAAAGTGTCTAAAGGATGATTAGAGGTGGCTAGCACAACAGAATGAGTCATTCTAATGAACACCATATTTGGTTGGTTGAGTGTTTTGGTCTCATGCGAGGCCAGGCCGCACAGTGGAGAGCGGAAACTGAAGCCATGTGTTTAACTGGGAGTGCCCATCTATTACTCACTCTCTCTCTCCCTTCAGTCCAAAGGACCAGGAGGATATTTGTGTTTGGAGCGATCAAAAACCTCAGTAGATTAGTGATGTAAAGCAGGGACATAGTCTGGCCAAGTCCTTGCTCTTATTGTCCTGAATTTAGACCAATTAGCAGACCATTCCATTATAGCTATAATCATTTCCACAAGGACTATTGATTTATAGGTTTTTTTCTTTTTTTTTTTAAATACTTGGCAGAAAAAGCACCATGGTCAACATAATTGCAATGAAAAATATTTTAATTTCTCATGCACTCAACCAACCCTCTGTTTACTTCTTTGACCTCTTTATTTTTCTATTATTTGGCATTAAATATCAGGTACCTGTACATGGACTTACAGTAGGTATGGACTGCAGGTGCACCTTGCTGACATTAGGTCTGTTCTATCACGTAGTAGGTTATTAACCTCTTCAGTGAGAATGTGCACAAAACCATGCACAAGGCATCTAGAATTTTATGTTTGAAATTGTAGTGCACTGGAACTTGATGTTTTGGAAGTTTCCTAAGGTTTCATGATGCGCATGGTAATCGATTTTACATTTCTGGCATCCTAAATATATTATATTAGCTGTGCTGGAAACTTTGCTTTGCAGTCGCTGCAGCTTGTGCCATGCCTGATACCCGCAGCCATTTATCTCATGCTTTGTTCCAGCTTATGCTCTCAAAAATTAGGCCATGTTAACCCATAGCTAAACCAAATGACACTGTCAACTTTCCATGGATTTTATCACTGATCCACAGTATATTTCAACAAATTATATCTGATTATATCTGCACATTTATATGTTTTCCAGTTTGGGTAAAAGGGAAGTTACTCTGTGCTCAGAAGTGATACTGTACAGGAATGGAGCTGTGCTAAGAACAGCCTCAGTGAAACTGAGAGTTGTTACTCTGGAAAGCTATGTAGCCAGTTATATCAAGTTAATAATGCTCCTTGAAAATTCTGTTTATAGTTTCAAGGTTTGCATTTCTAATTGACTGCTTTTACAGCTGTCTCACTAGACAAGGAGCATTCTGCAGAAGAAATCTGTATGTGACTGACCACTGGCCAATGATTTTTTGCTGGGAAGCCAGCTCTAAGGTTAAAACCATAAATAAAACCATAATGGACTATGTCTGCCCTTAGCCAGCTATCTAAAGAAAATGAAAGAAGAAGTTGAGATTTAGGAAAATGCACATCAAAGGCTCCGGTTTTTGGGCTGAGCTATTTGTTCAAAGCATGCTACTGTCTGACTGTATACTGCATACCCTGTGGTGTGTGTGTGTGTGTGTGTGTGTGTGTGCATGCTAAGTACAGCTAAGATACTGCACAGAACCCTCAAACTCCCTGGCCTCTGGTAAAGAACCTGAGATTGAGAAAGGCGCACTGCCCTGTATTCTTTATATGTATTCCCCCTCTTTTGTCCTTTGTCGCTTCTTTCCAAACATGTTCTTCCAAAAGTATTTCGAGTCTTTATATTCCTATTGATGTTGTGACATAAAGACTTGAGTATAGAGAATAAAGCAATTTATCAGTGTTTCAGCAGCCAGTGTCAGGCATCAGGCAGTGAGATTTCCAGGTGGCTCAAGCTGATAAAATTGTGGAAACCAGTATTGTTCATACGTTGAATGCCTGTACAGTAGATAAGGTTTGGCTTCAATCCATTTTCTCACAAAGTTTCTCATAGTACAGACCCAAAAATAGTGTGGTAGAGAAAAGGAAGAAGGTACTTAAGAAACTGTTAAGATAATTACCAAAACCTCACAGAAACCTCCACCCAGCTTGCCTTTTCCTATTGTGATGGCTTTTATCTCTGAACCAGCTAGTGTGTCTGTCTTTATGCAGACACACTAGCTGCACTAGCTACATGCAGCAACTGGATGGTGCATGTAATGTATGAACTTATTGTCAAAAGGCTGAAGAAAAGGAACAGTACAATAGCTTACAATATGGTTTCACCAAAATGAGTGAGGTCACTGTGTTGAAAGGATGCCTGATGTTTACTCCTCACATACCGCCCCTCTGCCTGCTGTGAGAAGCAGCACTCCTTAACGTAAACCTCGGGGACAGCAGCTGATGGATCTAAGAGCATCTTTTACTCAGGTCTGGAACACATGACTATTTTAGGTCATCAGCGAGGTTCTCTCAACACATTGTCTCCATAACTTAATCACTGTATAGCCAGTGGATTAATAAGAATAACAAACAGAGTCTTTCATAATTCAGCCAGAGAGGTTACAGTGATATTACTATAAATGATGTAGATTTCAATTCTGTTGTATAGTTTAATATCCTTTCACTATTTCAGAATCTGAT